GAATAAAAAAGCTAGGAATTTCTTTTGGTTATATTTTTCTACTTACCTAATTTTCCCATGAAAGTAAGTGGAGATCATCCTCATAGAAGCCGGGAGAAATCCCCAGCCCCCAGCCCTCAGTGACAGCTCTGCTATAATCACATGAAAGGAAACACCCCCCCCCCCCACCCCCCCCCCCCCCCCCCCCCCCCCACCACCCCCCCCCCCCTCCCCAACCCTCTCTCTCACCACAACACTACAGTGAACTTGCCTCAACATGTGGATCCAAAAGTTTAGACAATAGAAAATTGTTGACATTTTTTTGGGGGAAAATCACTGAACACTTTAAATATCTACAAAATTTCTGGCAAAGTTTATTGCAAAATAATGGGACTTACAAAATTTTTTGCTGCTACTTATTGCCAATCTCTGCAGCAACACTGAGCATGTTGATTACTTGTGCATTCATTTTTGGGCTGCCCATGAGGGCAACACCCAATAAAGAAATGGATTGCATCTATGTCAAAAAAGACAAAATGATGGGTGGATCTCCCAGAAAGGCTCTGCACGTTCCACTCTTCAATGGGGCCGATTTTTGTGGTGAGGGGACAGTAAGGCCGAAATTTGGACCATTCTCACGCATAGGCAGAGATGATTGACTGATTGATAAAGTTAATCTGCATTAAACTACCTCGCGAGGTGGTTTAAAAAAACGTAACCTGGCTAAGAAAATCTATTGTTCTTGCTTGACTTACATAACCCGGTTAGAATTCAGTTAAGACTGTAGAAAACCGGCCGGCTGCACTCACAGTTTTTTTTAATGAGTTAACTCTATTAAGTTAATTGGCAATAACTCGGTTAAGTCCCCAAGTGCGGCCGAAGCCATTTAACAGTATTTAAACACCAAAATTGACCCTGTCATGTTTTCTAAGTGTAGAACGATGATATTTTTTTTGGAATTTCCAGTTAGATCACATTAATCATGTTATACTGTCATGCCATATTTTGGGGGGCAGAGAGATTGGGGGAGGGGTGCAATGAGGAAATGTCCAGGTTAAAGATAATGCCAATTGTTTCTTGTTTTAAAAGGCAAACTATGTAGAGCTCTATCCTATTCCACAGGTTAGGAGTAGCTACAACTCAAGCTGGAAAAATGTGTGATTATGATCTATACTTCCCACAATCGGCAGCCCAATGAACTCCCACCATGGGTTCTTGTTGATTAAGAGCTATTGTCTGTGACTGCATACAATGGAAGTTATAAATATATGAAAAACTGCTGAAAACTTGTACCTGCCTTCCATGCGGTGGATATAGACCATTCAGTTGTGTCTGAGCACTCATTATACATCTATCTTTGTCACTACTTCGAACATAGATCTGTTTTTAAATAAATAGTCAAGATAAGATTAGTGGTTGCTTGCAAGAGGTGGTCACTACGAGAATCAAACCATGGGTCATCTCTTCTGAAAACGGATTTTAACACAATCTACAACTTTTTGGCACAAAATTAATGCTACATTTTGTGAGTTAAGAATATACACGTAGTTCCATTCTTTGTATACTCTGAGTGAAGTCGTACATATAGAGGACAAAGGGACCACACCATGGTTAAGTGGTCCCTTACAAGAGGTTAAAAATAATGGAAAACTATAAAATCATCAGGCCAAAAAGTGGTTGCAGTCACTTGCGAGAGTTGGTCATTTACGGGAGGTTTTACTGTAGGGTATTGACTGGGATATTGAATGTTTGACACTTTGGATAGGTGCTCGCTTTCGGCATGGTCTCACCTGGAGGTATGTTTGACTGTAGCCAGATTAAAAAGGTTACAGAATATAAGAGGATATCAGAGGGGAATTTCATTTGGGCCAGAAAACTGACTTTCTTAACAAGATGGTTGCTATAAAAAAAATGGGTATATGATGGAGTACCATCCCAATGGGGGTACTTAACAAAGTTTTGTGCCGGAACGCTTTGTTCCGAAGGTCCCACCTGAAAGAAAAGGTACCCCTTTCGTGGGCCGTCTTAATGGTACCCCTTTCACATACCTAGTTCAGAACTTTTTATCCCTTTTCACTGCTGTAGATGTACTGTCTTTTAAATATGAATAAATCACATAACCTGGATGTTTTCCAGGATGTTTTCGCATTTTGGGAATTTTCACCAACCAAAATGATATATTTCCTCACCCTTTCATATACCAGGATCTTGAAAAAGGGGGACCTTTCAAGTGGAGCCTCATCATATACGCCATTATTTGGGTTACCTTCTGGGAGTTGCATGGTAATTACTCATAACAGAAAATTCACATATCTATTCACATGTTCTTAATGCATAGCCCTCAAAGAATAATCCTAATGATGCTGACAGTTTCAATGACTGACAGCCATCTTTATCAAAACTAAAAACATCACAGGCGTCTGAAAAGTCACTCTGTCGAGGCCACCCCTCCCCCCCGGTTTAGGGTGGAAATCACTTGGGTCCATATACAGGGCTTCTGATAGGTCGCAGAAAAAAAAGTCAAATTTTGCAGGATTTTTAGGGACAAAATCGCAGAAAAATCGGCTGATTTCGTGGCAATTTCACGGGAATTTTCGGGGCAAACTTGGCCGGAAAGCAATTGGTAAAAAAATGGCAGATTTTGTGGTTATTTTCAGGGCAAATTTCACTAGAAATTGATCAGTTTTGCGCTGATCAGACCAGCATTTTTAATGTTTTCTAACAGAGGACATCATTTGCTCTTTCAACAACAATACACTTCAGAAATGAACCAATGGCAAAGCCTTTAACATCATGGCTAGTGCCCAGTTTTTCGCAACATAATCTATGCCTAGTAGTTTCAGAACTTTGTTTGCACGTTTCAGTGACAAACTTTTGACATAAATTTGCGAGTTTACGGCAAGTAAATATACCCCCAGTAGCTGAGACAAGTTCCAAAATTGTTGTACAGACATGTATTTGATAAGATTTCTACCGAATTTCGTGGCATTTTGCATGTTTTTGTGAATTTCGCGGGATTTCGCGGACTTACCTGAATTTCATGGTTCTGCGACCGCGCGAAATATCAGAAGCCCTGCATATAGGAGGTATGGACACTTGTGACGTTTTTAGCTTTGATAAAGATGGCTGTCAGTCATCGAAAATGTCAGCATCATTAGGATATTTCTTTCAGGGCTATGCTTTAAGAACATTTAAATAGGCATTTGAAATTACTAGCCTAACGAATTCCTTCAAGAGAAAATTTCCATAGCAAGTCAAAGTGTCTTATATTACCTCTTTGAACAGGTAAGATGAATCAAGCAGCTTGGTTTTATTGACATAAAGATCTTTGAGCAACTGGCCAAGTTTATATTCCTGCCTCATTCCAATCTGAAATTTAAAAAGACATTCTTGATTTAGGTGACTTAGGCACTGGCAGGGGCGGATCCAGGATTTTTTTTAGGGGGGGCGCACTCGTCTCGAGCTCTACTTCAACACCAATAAACCACATAGTTTTTTTTTTCATCTCGGGGGGGGGAAGTGCGCACCCCCTGCACCCTCCCCCTAGATCCTCCCCTGACTGGCTGACATATTTTTTCTTTATATCTTATATCCTATACTTATCCTTTATCTTACTTAAGCCCCACAGATCTAGAGTCACATAATTTTAACTTTTTTTATTATCCTGTGTAAAAATAATATCATTATTATACCACCCAACTCACGACAACTAAATAATTATTCTGATGAAAACAAGATCAGACTGTGTCAATGTGCCATGTTTAAAAATGTTATTTTCCTGGGACAAAATACTAGTCTTTGGTAATTTGTCATACCCTGTGTGCCACTTGGGAGAGGTTCAAAAGTGACTGGGATGAGTCAGAACAAATACTAGTATCATACTTGCATATGGAGAGGGTGTTTTATAGACCTGATACACATTTATTCAGTGCTATTTAGCACATAGATTTCAAGTGGCTACAAAAAGTAAATGATCTGATCATGAACACACTATAGCCATAGGATTTCAAATTTCATGGATCAAACACTTTTATAATTCCTTGTCCTGAGATCATGGGAACATATTTGTACCATGAGAAGTCCTGGGAACAATTTTTAAGATCCAAGATTTTTTAAAAGTGTTAAAAACAGTTTTTCACTTAACCCTACAGTTTTGAGGTATCAAAACTTGGTTTAATAAGGTTTGCGAAATCTACACTTTTCAAGTAAAATAGGTTTCTCTTGCTAAAAACGGTAGAAAAATATCAAATTCAACAGTGACAAAAAAACCCTCCCTGGGCCTCCCACACCTTTCATGACATCAACGCCCCACTGTTGGAATACCTGATATGACAAATGCACCGGGGGTGGGGTAGGGGCACTTGCTATTGACTGCTGAGTTAACATAGCCATAGTAAAAAATATGAAGAAAACAAGGTAGACAGTAATACTGTATTGATATCAGGGATTATGGTTTTAAGTAAAAACAAACCTGAGTAAGCTGCCCCAGGCCTTGAGGCCAGAAATTTTTATGTTCATCTGTTGGGAAAAAGGTGGTGGGGGAGCGGTCGCCATGGCGATATACCTGTCAAGAAGTTAAATTGAAATTACATGCTAATTAAGTTGTGCATAGCTGTCTATTAGATATATAAATACAGCAGATTTAAAATAAGTACAAATACGTGAAGGCCAGTATAAAAAGGGGAACCCTGATAATTTCAGAGAGAAAGCATTCAAATCACCATTTTGCAAAAGACGTAAGATAACTATACTCCTCAATGTAAGGGCTCAACATTAAAAGGGTATTTAATCAATCAAGTTTCCTTTGTTAGAGTGGTACAAGGAATTTAAAGTACATTTACTTGCATGAACCTTTGGCTAAAATGGTAGCTTCTTGTGTGGTGAAGGAATCTGTAAAGCTTTTACTTTAGTTATAAAAGCCCCCTGTTAGCCAAGGCTAAAATTTCAACAAGGGAAATGAAATCGGGAGAACCTTTCTCAAAATCATTTTCCTTCAAATTTCAATAACAATAACAAAGTAAGCTTACTACTTTGAAAATACTGACACGAGACTCAGGTGATTAATAAAATGTAACATAAATAAACTTTAATAAATCAAATAATTACATTTACTTCCATATCTGCTTTGAAATTATATGAACTATGAACGAAACATTGACTGCAGAAGACTCAGGCTTGTGTCAGTGCTTGGTTGGCGGACGGAAGTAATAAGCCTTATATGAAACGCAAAATACTTAAAACTGTGTATATCCTCTCATCTTCTATGCATAGAAGAAGCTAGTTTGCAAGCTCAATTTCCAATTGAAACTAGGTTGAAAACTCCGAAGTCAACTTAGACGCCTAGTAGGGACTCGATCTTCTCCAGATCGGTTATTATATTTAAAAGCTTAGTCATAACACTACACTTGTGATTTTAATTAAGCTTAAATTTAGGAAAATTTCAATGCGCCCAGGTTTTATGAGCTGAGGTACCATTCCAGGGAATTACAGATCAGTTAGTGGCAAAAATCTTAAATAAGTAAAGAAAGCAAGTAATTCATTGAGAGGATCGTTAAAATTTACACGCGTACATAAAATTAACCTGTTGAAAATTTTCGTGGTCATGTCATATGCTCTGTATTGTACCAGCACCAATACATTTCGGAATCAACCAATTATATTTTACAATACTATCACAAAAAAACTCACCACATTAACCATTCTGAGCTTTTGTGCTCCATATGATGGCGTGTGAATCTGTAGAAGCCACAAAAGACAAAACGCTAAATGAAAAAAACGACCGCTTCCGCCGGCCATGTTGGCTTCGATCAATTGTCGTCACCAGGCTTCTCTCGTAATCCTAGTTCGAGCAGGTCCGGGCAGATCCCTAGAGGGTATTTCCTTGTCGGTGCACTTTTTCGGAATTTTGGGAGTCAGAAAATTCGGGTAGGTAGGGATTTAAAAATGAGAAGTTTTTTACCACATTAAGTTGACAAATGGGTCAATTCATTTCAGGATGGCCTGGTTAGAAGACTTTCAAAGCTAGATGCATAAACAGAAAATGACTAATTTTGAATAGCAGAAATTACATTTTGCTAAAAGTGACTAAGAAGGAGTCTATTTCTGGGCACGGAAAAAACTATAATGGGGTAGGAGTTATGAGGGGCCAAAGGCACATACCCAGCCAAAATTAACCCAAGTTTCCCCTCCCTCCCCACCCCATAACCCCCCCCCCCCCCCCCCTTCAAAGACAGTGTGTGCTGTAAGATCCTATAAATCTCAATCCAGTAGAAAACGCAATTGGTTCCAATACTTATCCACTGGGTCAGGCCCATCCGGTGATCTTATTTTCCAATCATTTTGGTCCATTTTCTCTTCCAAAAAAGGTGGAATAATTCAGCTATTTGGAGTGAGTCTGTCGCTTTGAAACCACTCTGAAGACAGTTCCAACTAACAAAATTATGAAGATTGCCTTCAATTTTGGAACTGTTCCAATCTCATACTCATGTACTGACAGGCAGACAAGTCAATATAGGATTGCAAATTGTAACTGAATAAGCACTGGTATAGGCTATGGTTTGCAGTACAACCCACAAAAAAAATCATTGAGGGGGGCAGAGATTTGGGAAATTGTTCTTATCACTGGAAAAAATCCTCCATACGCCCAGCATGGCCAGCATAGAACTGAACATAGCCTTAGTGAGAACTAAACATAGCCTTATTCATTCAAGTCCTTGCATTTGGCCTGATTTGCATATTTTTGTAGACCTTTCCCACATAATTTCCTGCAAACAAAGACCTAACAACTCAAGGCTTGGTTTGAGAAAATACAGTTATTTGTTGAGTGCTGTCCAACCAAGCCTCAACACCATATCATTGTCTGTGACTACTGAGAGAGAATGTGCTGGCAAGTCATTTTGCAGAATGCAGAATGGGCACCAAACAACTCTGAGGTTAAGGGATTAGTTTAGTGAATCAATTTATAGCTTGGGTCATTAGTTAATATACAGGTCAAACTGAACTGGACCTTGATTCACTCAGTTTCTTTACTCTAATCACTATACTTCAGAGTCATTCCACGCTTGGTGGCCATTTCGCAATCTGCAAAATAACCCTAAGGCAGAAATACAGGAAACGTCTTTAAATAACATGAGCAATACTCTTTTGTTGACCAGAACACTGTGGAACAGCTATGATGTCATAAAAATGGACACAAAAATTATGAGGAAACACAATTAATTTTAATTTTTTTTAAAGCAAAATTGGGGCGAGATTCAGGACTGAAAGTATGTGCAGGAGGTGGAATGCCAAATACAAGCATAGGGAGTACAGGATTGCTCGAAATTTTGGGTCAGGATACAGGATTGAAGAACCCCATCTGGGACCCTCTATCCTACTGGGCCATGGCAGTCACTCCAAGGCAGTTACATTCAGTCTTCATTGACGTCAACATCTTTGTCATTGCTGTCATAAGCTTCACTTAGTAAAGAATCTCTTACTTCCATCAGTAGTTTCCCCATAGTGTTTTCTCCAGTAATCTCACCCGTCTTTTTGTCTCGCTTCCCAATCCAGAAATCTGTTTGACCCCGAGATGGAATGTGAATCAGCTGTCTTGAGGCCCCAGTTTCTAAAAGAAGGCTTTTAAACGGCTCTTTTTCAAACTTCTTTTGTAGAGCTCTTTTCATCCTTCGTTTTGCTACTTCCTGATCTAATCCGTCAGGTGCTAACGTCAACTTATACTTAGCAGAACCAGATTTCGAGCCAGCCGACTTGGCCAGCCTTCCTTTCGCTGTCTCCTCCTTCACGTTTGTTGCTGCCGTCTCTTTTTTCCTATCAAATTCCCCACCTTTCATAAACTGCTTCCTGTCTTCAGGAATGAATTTCATACCTTGGAAATAATGCTCTACAGACGGAAACACGCCTTCCTCCATCTCGATATCAACTTCAAAGAAGTTTGACAACTGGCAATATGGCAACCTTGACCCAGAGAAGAAGAATATGGGTTCTTCGGCTTCATTTGAGCTCTTTTTCAAGCGTTTCGAAGGTGAACTCATGTCGCAGGTGACTAACTAGGCAGATCTGTAAAGAAAGAGAATATGAAAGAGAGGAGAGGGGATTGCATCGAATGGTGCAACCAGAGCACCTACATCCGCCATGTTGGAATTGTGTTGACGGAGATTTTTTAAGAGACTGGAACCAACTTTCGTTCCCAGGGCACCAACAGAGCACCAAACAGAGCACCTTGATTTCTCATTTTCTCTGCATTTTGCGCATGCCTGAGAGCAGCGGAGCTGCGTCTGTAGTTGTAAGAGAAGATGGGTGTGAAATCGAAAATAAAGGGGAGAGGGGTGACTTAGATGTAAATAACATATCTGAGCCTCTTATTTTGTGAAAGGCCTGCTGTCCTGCTCAGGTTTTGTGCCAGGTGGACATTTCAGGACACTCTACTTCGGTTTACCCACGGAAAAAAACAACCACGTTTTTGATTGGTTGTTTTATCGTGAGACTCAGAATCCACGTTGTTGGGCGGACGAATGGCCGGGAGATAAATGGGTACTTTTTTCGCCATTTACATGCGAAAACCGACAAATCCGGTTGGAAAATCACAATGGTTGGTGCCATTCCGTTTGGGAAGTTTCAGACGGGGCTGTCAGATCTGAGGCGCGTCAATTTCCCCCTCCTTTTAGTCTGTTCCGGCTGATTTTGATATACTTTGTAAAGACTCTTTCTCCCACCTTGTCAAAATTTATAGTTTTATGTTTACGAANCCTCCATCTCGATATCAACTTCAAAGAAGTTTGACAACTGGCAATATGGCAACCTTGACCCAGAGAAGAAGAATATGGGTTCTTCGGCTTCATTTGAGCTCTTTTTCAAGCGTTTCGAAGGTGAACTCATGTCGCAGGTGACTAACTAGGCAGATCTGTAAAGAAAGAGAATATGAAAGAGAGGAGAGGGGATTGCATCGAATGGTGCAACCAGAGCACCTACATCCGCCATGTTGGAATTGTGTTGACGGAGATTTTTTAAGAGACTGGAACCAACTTTCGTTCCCAGGGCACCAACAGAGCACCAAACAGAGCACCTTGATTTCTCATTTTCTCTGCATTTTGCGCATGCCTGAGAGCAGCGGAGCTGCGTCTGTAGTTGTAAGAGAAGATGGGTGTGAAATCGAAAATAAAGGGGAGAGGGGTGACTTAGATGTAAATAACATATCTGAGCCTCTTATTTTGTGAAAGGCCTGCTGTCCTGCTCAGGTTTTGTGCCAGGTGGACATTTCAGGACACTCTACTTCGGTTTACCCACGGAAAAAAACAACCACGTTTTTGATTGGTTGTTTTATCGTGAGACTCAGAATCCACGTTGTTGGGCGGACGAATGGCCGGGAGATAAATGGGTACTTTTTTCGCCATTTACATGCGAAAACCGACAAATCCGGTTGGAAAATCACAATGGTTGGTGCCATTCCGTTTGGGAAGTTTCAGACGGGGCTGTCAGATCTGAGGCGCGTCAATTTCCCCCTCCTTTTAGTCTGTTCCGGCTGATTTTGATATACTTTGTAAAGACTCTTTCTCCCACCTTGTCAAAATTTATAGTTTTATGTTTACGAACAAGATTTCCAGCAGGCTAGTTTACGTAAATGGTAACCACCCAAAAATTCGTTCGAACCACGTGAGACGAAACGCAAAGCCCGCTCGGAAAGAGGCCTAGGGAGTGGGCAAGAACTTCCTGATGTCTCCACGATTATGTCCCAAGGAAAAAGTATCTCGTGGCGGACGTGAAAAAAACAGAATTATCATTTCTCGAGGTAAAATGGGAGAAAAGAGGCTCATTGTAACGGAAACTTAACTGCTCGGAGAATCACTTGATTTCAGCAAAAAGAAGAACTACCCAGGACGCCCTCAACATGCTCACTCATCTTACCTGGAATATCGCCTCTAATATTCAATTTTTGTACAGGATCCCTTAACCCGAAACGAAACTGAACTCCCACACAAGGCCCATGTCACAGAGTTATCCCGGACCGTTCTATTTTCAGATCCATTTTCCCATCGAAGATGGAAGCTCCACTAGTGCACTTGAGGCAAAAAAAGAAAAAGGAAACCTAAGGTTAAAAAACTGTCATTTTCAGGTCTGTAGCTTATCGTTACTTGTTTGTGTCGGAACCAAGACTGTTTGGCGGGACTTGGAAGATATAAGATTCGCGCCAAAATCGTTCTCACAACAAGGTCGGTAAAAACGCCGTGACACGAGTACATGGATGTTGCTTGCTCCGGCCGTTACGTTAGAGTGTTTTCACTCACGTGGCCAGTAGCTGTGCAACCTGTGC